ATATATATATACCCTATCTCTCCTAGTAGTGACTTCAACTTGGTCTATTCTTTAACTCTTAGTGATTCTTCAGTTTTTCTTCCTTAAGATATGCATAAAACATGAGCCCTGCCTGGAACTTTTAATATAGAACATATTGTCTTTCCTCTCAAGAATATTATATTTTAATTAGTGAAGAAGATAAAGTTTCTACCAAGTTTGAGAAGAGCTATGATATACATCTTCATATAAGAGCAAAGAAAATAATTATTTAATCCAGACAGCAATGGTGAAGGAAGACATCCTGCAGGAAATTATGCCAAATCTAGGTTTTGATGTATGCTGTTGCTAAGTGTCATTGAGTCCATTTCAATTCAGAGTGACCCTGTATAGGGTTTCTGAGGAGCGGCTGTTGGAATGGGAAGACTGACCTTGTGGTTAGCAATCCAGTGATTATCCTACAATGTCCCACCAGGATTGTAAAGAAAGGTTTTTAATTGAGCATTGAAATTGATAAAAAAAAACCCATGATATTTAGTTTCCTCTTTCATATGTTGAAAGGAATTACTGATGGGGGAATAGTGTGCAGAAATGGGAGAAAATAGGCAGCATTATATTTTAAAATAACAATGTAAATTTTTGTAGATGCTTGAGAACTTCTGAAAAATGGATAAGTTTGAGAACTTTAGACATGTATAGTGAAACATACAAAGTAGCCTAAAATGACAAAACTCGTTTGGAAATACTGTATGTCATGAAAGCTTTAGGAGTTGAGGGTAGACTTTTGCTGTCATCCTACTAAAAATCACCCACTCTCTTTCAGCCTCTGGACCACTTATGATGAGAACATTAGTGATAGAGGAAAGAATGCTTCGTTATATTGTAGAAAAGCAGACATATCTTGTAATGCAAAACTCTGATAAAAACCTGTATTGGAGAAAAGATCTTCAGTTTCTGCTCTAAAAGTTTTCTGCTTTGTTCTCCAAAAAAAGTTGTTTACGCTTTAAGAAGCTTGACAATTCCTATGATTCAGGTAACTAGAAAATAAGGGGAGAAAAGGAGGGTTGCCCAGTATTCTCAAGACCAGAGTTTGCTTGAAAGGAGCAAATGTTAAGAAGCAGCACTTTTGTATCATATACAAAAATACATATACACTTACTTCAAGCCTGTATAAGATATACATTTACTATATCCTCACCTATAAGTAATTAATAACCTAATGGATAGCCCTGGCTTTCAATGATCAAATGTGGAATTGTTTCCTGTGATTTTAAGAGAGTTGTGAAAGTAAAGAGTGGGTAGAGGAAATCTGGCAAGTGATCCAAGAAAAGAGACATGGATATTCCCTTCCCTATGGGCAAAGAGTCTAGTGAGGTGTTTCCTGTAGGATAAGCATTGAACTGCTAACCAAAAGGTTGCTGGTTCAAACCCATCAGAAGCTCCTCGCAAATCCTACACAGAAGCCCTATGAGTCAGAAGTTACTTTCCAGCACTTAAAATACAACAATGGGTCAGAAATAGATGATTTAGAAGAAGGAACGAGAAAAAAGTTACACAAACTTCTTGTATCTTTCCAAAACCTTGCTGTTTGGTTGACGGGCTATCTTGAGTTGGTTCTGACTCACAATGATCCTGTACAGGGTTTCCAAGGCTGTAAATGTTTATGGGAGCAGAAAGTTTCATCTTTCTCTTGTGGAATGCCTGGTGGACTCAAACAGCTGACCTTGTAGTCAACAGACCAATGCAAAACCCGCTACACCACAAGAATTCCTTCAAGCCTGTATAAGTTATACATTTACATATATTATATACATGTTGCATAAGATGCACATTTAATGATAATAAATTTTGAAAAGAAATATTACTTTTTTTGAGACATTTCTTTGACAGAATTCATTAAAATGATGCTCTCTAAACATAGCTGAGTTTCCAAAATAATGAGCTCATTTTAAGCAAACCATTGTTGATTGTCAACAGTGACTGGCTAAAATGATAGTCATCTTAATATTTGTTGTCTAAGTCAGGGAATGAATGGAATGCTCTGCCAATTCCTGCAGGTATATAAAGGTGCTGAAGAAGTAGAAGACATCCATATTTCAGAAACAAATTCTTCTAACTCACCTGAACTCTCTCCTCTTGACAACATGTGTTGCAACTACTATGGCAACTCCTGTGGCTATGGCTGTGGCTATGGCTCTGGCTATGGTTGTGGATTTGGCTCCCGTTATGGCTGTGGTTATGGCTGTGGATATGGCTCCCGCTACGGCTGTGGCTATGGCTCCGGCTATGGCTGTGGATACGGCTCTGGCTACGGCTGTGGATATGGCTCCCGCTATGGCTGTGGCTCTGGCTCTGGCTACGGCTGTGGATACGGCTGTGGATACGGTTCCCGCTATGGCTGTGGATACGGCTCTGGCTATGGCTGTGGATATGGTTCCCGCTATGGCTGTGGCTATGGTTGTGGCTATGGCTCTGGCTCTAGCTATGGCTGCTGTGGCTACCGCCCATCTTGCTTCAGAAAATGCTATTCTTCTTGCTGCTAGAACATCACTCTCCAAGCATTGCTTGCTTCTGACATGACAAATCTAAGAATAATTCTGACTGAAGAGCCCATATACCAAGATTTTGATATGCAACCAATGTCCTACTTGACAAAAGTTATGTTCTCTAAGTACCAGTTTCTTAGGATTGCATTTTTGTGTCCAGAGACTTCGTGATATCATCTGTTTTTCAGATGTTGATCTTTATTCCTTTCATCTTTGATTCTTTGTTATGATGGTGTTGGTTTCCCCTATAGTTGGGAAAATCACTTTTTCCTAATAAAAATGGTTCTTTCTAGCAATTCTCTTTTTGTGTGTGGATTTTTTGTACTTGTTTGTGGCTTTTCCTTTCTTGAGACATCATGGTCTCTCTTTAAAATTACTTAAAAATATGTTGACTGAACCTTAGGTTTTTTTGTTTGTTTGTTTGTTGTTGATACAAATATTTCCTCTTATATTTGCATTATGATTAATGTCAGCTCCACCTACTTCTACTATCCCACATCTTCAAGTACTTACATATCAGTATTTCAGAACTGAGATCTTTAAAAGACATTGGCTTCAAGGATGAAATTGGAAGGCATGATGCCTACTCAGGCTGTTATGTCAAAAACTCCAAAGAGAGAAAATAGGAACATCATTTTTTGGAAAGTAATGCTATTGAGGAGATAATCTAGGATTACTGAGCAAGTAGAATTGGACCTGGTTGTTAAACATGAGAAGCAGAAATTTAAGAAAAGATTAAGTTAGAAGAAATATTTATTTCACCTTCTGAATTTCCTGAAAGTGCAGACATATTGTTTATATATTTTAAGAAAATGCATTTGTCTTATAGTCATAGTAGTTAAAGGCTAATGTGTCAGACTGCAAAATAGTTTGAACTGCAAGATCAGTGTTTCAGGCTCACAAGCTGCTCCTTGGAAACCCTATATAGGGTTGCTATGGGTCAGAATCGACTCAATGGCACTTAACAACAACAAAAAAACATAATAAATAATTTTAGTATTTTGAATGTATTTCATAGGTATTGAGTACACAGTATGAAAAAAAATATGCGCAATATACCTCATTTCTAGTGTTTACATTCCAAAAGTGAAGATTTAAAAAGAATAAAAAGTCTTCACCAAAGAAAACTTTCAGGTGCTCATGATCAGTCATCACTGTTGTTGTTAGGTATCTTTGCATTTGTCCTGACTCAAAACAACTCAATGCACAACATAAAGAAATCCTACCTTGTGGTCCTGTGCCATCTTCACAATTGTTGTTATATCTGAGTCCATTGATACTGCCATTGTGTCTTCCTTTCACATGCAAGATTTTCAGATATGGTAATATATTCTCTAACTTTTTGACTGCTGCTTCCATGAATGTTGATTGTGAATCCCCCCCCCCCCACACAAAAACAGAGGTATTTGATAGCTTCAGTCTTTTTTTCATTTATGATATTATTTATTGGTCCAATTGTGAAGATTTTGGTTTTCTTTATAGTGAGGTACAACCCATACTGATAGCTATAATCTTTGATTTTCATTAGTATTTTAAGGAATAGATGTACATCTATGTATATTGGAGTCCTGGTGTGGCACTGTGGGTTAATGGGCCAGACTGCAAAGTTGTTTGAACTGCAAGGTTGGTGGTTCAATCTCACCAGCTGCTTCTCAGGAACCCTATACAGGGTCTCTATGGGTTGGAATCGACATGATGGCACTTCACAACGTGTACATTGCAGCACAATAGCAAAGATAGAAATAACCTAATCTCTATCAATAGAAGATTAGATAAATAAAATCTGGTGCCTATGCTCAATGGCTTGCTGCTCAATGTTAAAGAATAAGGATGAATCTGTGAAATGCCTCATAACTTGGATGAACTTGGAGGACATTATGTTGAATGAAATAGGTCAATCATAAAAGGAAAAATATTGTAAGACATCATGGTCTCTCTTTAAAATTACTTAAAAATATGTAAGAGTCCACTACTACAAAAAAAATCAAGAAAAGGTTTTCACAATAAAATAAACTTTGTTTTATGGTTATCAGGTGTGGGGTGGGGTGAAACTGAAAGTCACTAACTACTAACTAGAGGATAGACATGTATTTACTTAGGTGAAAGGGGAGGCAAACGAGAATAAGAAAAGAAAAATCCCTTCAACGATAGCATAATGCACATTGTTATTGTTGTTGTTTTTTAAATCACATTTCTAGTTTCAATGATCTGTACTTAAAAAGTATTCACCTCTATAGTCCACAAGGACATTGTTCTGCATTCTACTTTTGTGAGCAGCTACTGGAAACTTAAAAACCCACAAGTATCTGTATAAGGTGCAGTTATCAGTTTCTCTCTATGTAAAGGAAAGAAAAGTGTTATAAAGTGAAGACACTTGGGTTCAATTAGTCCAACATCAGTCTCTACCACCCCAAGACCAGAACTATATGGTCCCTGGCTAACACTACCAACTGCTCTGAAGGAGAGCACATTAGAAGTTCCATGATAGAGTGAGAGAACTTAGAACAAAATTCAAATTTACAAAAAAACCAGGATTAGAATGAGACTAGAGGAACCAGAGACTATGGCCTTAGGCCATCCTTCAGGTCTGGAACTGAACTTACTTTCATGTCTCAATTTTCAGCCAATTGGTAGATCAGTATATAAGGGGACAGCAAAACAAATAAGGTATGTTTACATGGAATGGTCAGTCATTCAAGGCCAAAAGGGTAACATTTACCTAAGGATAAAGTTCAGAACAGTTGGAAAGGAGGTTGGTATGGAAATACAAATCTTCACTCAATTCACAATAAAAAGGCTTTTTTTTTTTCTATTGAAAAAAGCATGCAACCAAAAAATTTACAGAAGTTTCATTCTGTTTTCTTTATTCAATAAGAACTCATAGATTCTAAAATAAATACTAAAGTAAAAACAAATTAAGATAAATTCAGGTAGAAATGACTACTATGAAAGGAAGAAAACAGCTTTAAAAGAATAAGAAGAAGCATTAAAGAATTAGAGACATAAGTCAGAGACGCATTCTAAACTTGTGACAATTTAGTTGAAATACATAAATAAAAAAGATGCCACTTACAAAGCAAAACTAGAAAGAAGAACAATAAGTATAAAAATTCATTGAATTTTAGATCAATAAGAAGGTTCCATATTTCTCAGTTGAAAAAGAGACAGTCCCAGGGTCTAGAAAGTTTCCCTTTGGATTGGGATAGATTTAACAATGGGGCTAAAAGCCTAATATGTTTCTCTGCAAAGAACAAAACTCTGGGAAATGATGGAATACACCTTGAAATCTTTCAATAAGCAGAGGCAGCACTGGAGGCACTCACTCATCTATGCCAACAAATTTGGTAGACATCTACTTCGACAACTGATTAGAAGAAATTCATATTGTGCCCATTCAAAAAAAGAAGGTGCTACAATGGAATGCAGAAAGCATTGGACAATATCATTAATATCACGTGCAAGTAAAGAAGGTAACTCAAAAGCGGCTACAACCGTACATTTACAGGGAATTGCCAGAGATTCAAGCTGGACTCAGACAGGGGTGTGGAATGAAGGAAATTGTTGGTGATGTCAGATGGATCTTGGCTGAAAGAAGAGAACAACGGAAAGATGTTTACCTGTGCTTTATTGACTATGCAAAGGCTTTCGATTGTTTGAATCCTGACAAGCTATGAACAACATTGCAGAGAATAAATATTCTGGAACACTTAGTTGTGCTCATGAAGAACCTGTACATAGACTAAGAGACAGTCATTTGAATAGAACAAGCACACTCTGAATGGTTTTAAATCAGGATAGGTGTACAACAAGGTTGTATTATTTCACCATACTTATTCAATCTGCATTCTGAGCAAATAATCTAAGAAAGCAGATTATATGATGAACAATATGGCATTAGGATTGAAGGAAGACTCATTAACAACCTGTGATATTCAGATGATACAACATTGCTTGCTGAAAACAAATAGGACTTAAAATACTGATGAAGATCACAGACCACAGACTTCGGTATGGTTTGTATCTCGTGTAAAGAAAACAAAAACCGTCATAGTAAATGATGAAAAGATTGAAGTTGTCAAAGTCTTCAATTTGCTTGGATTCATCATCAGCTCTCAGGGAGGCTGCAGTCAAGAAATCAAAAAGATATGTTGCATTAGGCAAATATGCTGTGTAAGACCTCTTTAAAGTATTCCAGAGCAGAGATGTCAGTTTGAGGACTAAGGTGTGCCTGATCCAAGCCATGATTTTTCCAGTAGCCTCATGTGCATGTGAAAGTTGGACAATGAATAAGCAAGACTACAGAAGGATTGATGCATTTGAGCTATGGGGTTGTAAGAGAATATTAAAAGTACCGTAAGCTGTTAGAAGAACAAACAAATCTGTCTTGGAAGAAGTACAGCCAGAAAGTTCCTTAGAAATCAGATGGCCAGATTTCATCTCTCATACTTCAGACACATTATCAGAAGGTACATGTTCTTGAAGAAGGACATCATGTTTGATAAAGTGAAGGGCCAGTGAAAAAGAAGAAGATCCCCAAAGAGGTGAACTGGCACACTGACAGCAGCAAAGGGTTCAAGTGTAGCAACTCGAAGGCACGTAATAACAACAAAGTTCTCCACTGAACTTTCTGAATGACACAGTCTGAGGTCCCTGGACCTAGAAAAAGATGGCTGACTTCAAGGAATATGACCTTGATATCAGAACCAGTGCTAGGTCCCAGGATCTAATTAAGGCCAAATGAGGAAGTGTCATTCTTCTTTCAAGAAATGACTGTCTTTATATGATGAACATGTATAAAAGAGAATTTGAAGACTCTGAGATTTGGCTCAAAAACAGTAGAAGGGAATTCTAATAATTACAGTTCTTTGAAAATCTAATTTATTGTCTCATAATAAAATCTAATTCATTGTCTCATAATAAAAATGCCTTCAATTTTATTGAAGGCATTCTGAAAAAAGAAAGGATGTCAATATTCGGCATGTAAGGAGATAATTTAT